ATTGCAATATATGAAAAGACCAGGCAAGCCTTTCGTAAATTAACGCTTTATACTCTGAATGCTATAAAAATTCCATGACTAAGAAGTTCTTCAGAAACACAACATCAAAAAGGGTTTGAAGCGTCCAAACACCAAAAACCCTTCCCGGCCCTATGTGACTCATTTAGTTTCTAGTCATAAAGACCTCAACCTGGGCTTTGGGGCACACCTCTCTTCATCTCTACCAACAGAGAATTGATAAATAGATTGGCTCTAGGATACCTAGTTGAACAGAGAGGAAATAAAAAAAACTGCAGGAATATTTATTTAGAATCATTTTTAATCCAGTCAAGTCCGTCCCTGTGGAAGACAAGGGTCTCATGTTTCTTTCCTATTAGGGTCACTTTCTTGAGGCTTCAGTGAAACAACGCAGCAGGTTGTTGGACCAGGATTCCTACAGAACCCTAATTTTAACTTAGGTGATTGCTTTGCCACTTTTTCTTTCAGTATTTTCCCTATTCTTTCCCAGGAGATAGTTAATTCAACATAGAGTTAAAGGAAAGGAAAAAGGACACTTGATATTTTAAAAACAAACAACACAAAACCCAAATGTCGTGGCAGCAGCCCCATCCTGTTCTGAGACGGCAGCAACATTCATCTCAGAGGATTGGTCCTTTGATTGGAAAATGCATTAATTATGAAAGGAAAGGTTCCAGATAAATCAAAGTGGACAGAAGTTGCAATGAAAGGGAACTAAATTGCTCTACATAATGAACCAGAGGAATTCTGGAAGTTATTTAGGGGGGCTTCAGAGAGCAGTGGAAACCTGCAAGATGGAGAACAGCCAGAGATATTTTGGGGGTTCTAAAATCCAAAGGAAAGTGTATATTAAAACCAGAAAACCCCGCCTGTGGTTGTGAGTTTCCTGGGAGATGTTTTTTGCCACCCAAAACCAACCTAAGTCAGACAGACTTCCTAAATGCTGCCCATGCTAGTGGTTACATGTTTCCTGGCCCACCCATTCTCTGCAGCACTTTGCAGAACTATCTAATGTGGGGGCTTCTATTTCAATTTCTCACTTAATAGGAGCCCAAATCCTCATTTCTGATCCTGACATGAGAGTTAAAACTCAAGTCCCTAAGTCACTGCCTCTTGGCCTCTGGGTTTTTTTCTTACCTTTGGGTAAACTCAGCTGTGCATTTTAAGAGTCTATCAGGTTGTGTTATATTTTCCAGCATTTCTAAGGATTCTGTAGTAGGACAGGCTTCAGGTTATCTAGTCTGCTGCCATATAAAAAGGAAGATGCTCATAAAATGTCTAGATGTGAAACTCTGCCCAGGACCAGAACCTTCTCTGCAGCAAAATCCTCACCTACAACCTCAAACATTTATAGAAGGATGAACTTAGTTTTGTCTTGGTGACCAAAAGAAGTTAAGGTAAGCAGCAGTTTGGCGCTGTGAAGGGTAGACAGGTGGAGAGAGAAGCAAAGGTGGGGGAGACTTTTCCCGGTGGAGGTAGGATGATGCATTGTCTGAGCCTCGGCCCCTTTTAGCGCAGACAGCAACTGCCCTCCTTCCCTCACCATCTGCCTGCCTCTCAGCTTGCATCCCCACTGACGGCTAAAGCCACAGTTAGCGCAGACTGGAGGGAGTTCACCGTACTGAGAAAACCAGGAGAAAACCAGGAGCGGGCGACCTGACTCTTACCAAGTCAGTTCTGGCTAAAACTCTTGAGGTTCTGGTCAGATAAACCTAGAAATTTTGTTCTTTGTAACAAAGGATCAAGGGACTGCAGCTTAGCCTAAATTTACACCTAATCTTAAAATTGGTGGGGGGAGAGGGGAGGCCAAATCATTCTAAGGAAACTCCTTTCTTCCTCTCTGAAACACTAAACCCTCTCATTATAGGCCTGAAGGCTTCCCAGTTTGGAAAAGAGTTCTAAAATATATGAACACAAGTCTAGCCATCATAGAAAATCCCTGAAATCCTTTTTGGAATGGCTCTAGACCAATATTCCTGGAGAGATCCACAAACCAGAACACATTGGAACCCCCAGGGCAAATGAGATTCAGCGTAAATAAGCCTGGGTTCTTCTCCACCATCAGCCATCCTGATAGAAAACTCGTCAACCGTGATATCTGTGTGTCTGTTGTCCCTTCTGCACCCTATGGCTCCATCATGCCCACCCTGCAAAGGATGAGGCCATGTCTCAGACAGCACAGTGCCTCCTGCAGAACCACAAAAGCACAGTTGCATCCATTTGCTCTAAGAACTGATTTTCCTCCAAATATACATTGCTGCCTCAAGGTGCTCACTAGTTCAAATGGCATATGTCATAAAAATTAGTAATACATCTTTTATAAATGGCGATTGACTTTTTTTTTTTTTAAAGATTTTTTTTTTTTTTCCTTTTTCTCCCCAAAGTCCCCCGGTACATAGTTGTGTATTCTTCGTTGTGGGTTCTTCTAGTTGTGGCATGTGGGACGCTGCCTCAGCGTGGTCTGATGAGCAGTGCCATGTCCGCGCCCAGGATTCGAACTAACGAAACACTGGGCCGCCTGCTGCGGAGTGCGCGAACTTAACCACTCGGCCACGGGGCCAGCCCCGCGATTGACTTTTTTTTAATGTGTAGAACTAAACCATTTGTCCCTTGCTTTGGACTTAAAAAAAAAAAAAATGGCGCCATTCACATGTCCTCTCAGTAAATTATCCTTTTCCACCAAAAATGAGGTATACTGGTAAAGAGTTTGAGAGTTACATAAGGATATGGGATACTGTATTCATCTAAGAATAAAAAAGAATCACTTTGAATTTTAGTTAAGATAAATACACATAAATTCTAGACTAACCCGTCTCTTGTTTCTTTCACATAGCTTCTACTTGTGGCCAAGTAGTTAAGTTCATGCACTCCACTTTGGTGGCCCAGGGTTTGTGGGTTCAGATCCTGGGCACAGACCTATACACCGCTCATCAGGCCACGCTGTGGCAGCATCCCACACAGAAGAACTAGAATGACTTACAACTAGGATATACAACTATGTACTGGAGCTTTGGGGAGAAAAAGGAAAAAGAAAAAAAAAGAGGAAGATTGGCAACAGATGTTAGCTCAGAGCTAATCTTCCTCACCAAAAAAAAAAAAACAAAAAACAAAAAAAAACCAATAAAAATACAAAGAAAGCCTAACAGACATATGGTGATTGAGTAACAGGATCAACCATCAATCAAATCTGTGCTAGCCTAAGAGCAGACTGTACTACTAGAATTCACTATTTAATAGCTCAACTCCTTTTCTATTATTGTTGAAAATAGAGGTTGAATTATAATGTAACCTTAGACAAGTGACAAAACCTCTCTATTCCTCAGTTTCTTAATCTGTAAAACAGAGATAATAAAAATACCTATTGCATAGGGTCATTGTGAGGTTTAACTGAGACAATTCATGTCTGGAACTGAGTGCTCAATAACTGCTAGCTCTCATTAAGATTAGTTTTATTATTAGCTATTGAGTGTTTTACAATGTGCCAGGGATTATCTATTATTGCATTTAATTTATTGCTTTTAAATCTGCTTCTTTCCTTAGAATAAGCACTTTTGATTAGTACAGACCTCATTAGCTCCACATTAAAAACAAAACAGAATTAGATGAAAAGGCAACTTCTGAGCAAAGGATATATTTTATATAGTATTTAATGTATTACCTCCAGCAATTGCTTAAAAAAATGTAAGTTTTACAGGAGTCCCTTCCACTCTGATCCCAGTGCTGGCAGTGCACAGTCCCTCTCAGACAGACCTCGGGTTATGCTAGATAATTCCAGGAGAACAAGTACTCGTCCTATTGTTACAGGCACTGCTCTAAGGCTGAGGCTTATTCGGACTAGCCAGAGGCTAGAGTCTGTAACTTCACCATTTAAAAATTGACCTGGTATTTATGGCATCATTCAAAGCCCAAGGAACAATCACAGACAAAGCATTTTAATAACTTCCTAAAGCCTGAACATTTGATTTAAAATCACATTCGTGAATTTACCACTGTTAGTGTGGACTAAAGTACAAACCTTGTGAAATACCTGCTTTCCCTTTACTATTCATCTCCTTTAATGGTGGGGGAAAAACAATAAAATTTTAATTGAGCCATCCCTCTCAGAATTAAACAGTGGTGGTCAAAATCTATACACAACATCAAGACAACTGCACTACGGAACTGGCCAATGATCTTGCCTAGCCCATATTTAGAAGAAAAGGGTATTACTCAGCTTTCCAATCTATTGGGGAGCATAGATCAAAACCTTCCTTAGGAAGTATTTCAGTGCACAACAGATACCTAACGTGGTTTATTATTGTCACTAATCGAATTCTTAACGATGTAGGCTAAGCCATTCTCCTTATACGCTGCCTTTAAAACTTACTAAGAACAAACCAAGAACTAGAGAAAGTTAAAAAAAATCTACAGTCTACTTGTTAGCACATCTTCATGCCATGGTGATTTGATCAGTGATTTGATAAGTATAGATCACAACCCTGGATTTAATCCAGGGTGGCCCACTTCTAAAATGACCCATTTATAACAAAGGTCTCTCTGTTGGATATGTCAAGAGAGTTAAAAAAAGAAAAATGCTACCAGTATCAAGCACTTTTATTTAGTGAGGCATTGCAGAGAAATGGAACTGCAAACCTGGAGACATTCTCAGCCCAGCTTTACTAGTCATGTGAGTGTAAACAAGTCAGCAAGCTTTCCTGAATTTCATTCTCTCTGTCACTATAATGGAATTAGTATTCCCTCACACTATTCCACAGAGAAGTCCTAAAGAATAAGGAACACAATATAAGTATCGTACAATGCCATAAGCTTCTTGGAGAAAAGACTCGAAATGTCTTAAGGAAAAACAATGCAAAATTAACCCTACTTAGGGTAGAATATTTACGAAGGAGATTTAGGCTGCTACAAAATAAAATATTCTCTTTGAATTCTTACAAGTTTTGAACATAACACTCACCACAGTAGAAAGTGGAAAGACAACCTACCCCATGTTCCCATCCATTAGAAGAATCGTGTTGTATATGTGAGAAAATATGAAGAGAAAGAGAATTGTGCTGAAGAACATTGTCATCCATGACCCATGATCCTCTCGAAACATCTTTAACCGGAGCAATTGACCTGCAATATAAATATTATTAGAAATCAGTGTATATCGTAATTCCAACTTTATACATCTTTGCTTTATTTTAGTGAATCTCTATTATCTCACTATATTCTGAAGTCTTTGCCATAGGACTGGATTATGAGTGAGATCACTATATAAGGTCCTTTCTGCTATTTTATAAATGTGTGATCACGGATGAAGTCCAAGATAACCCCTGTATCATTCTAGAGCAAATAACACTAACATGAGATTCTGGTACACAGAGATCATTCACTATGCTGGGGTAAAAACGAAGTCAATTAGAGCACTACTACCTGCTATTTTCTACTTCACAAACATGTTTTGGTTCATTTATACTGAAACTACTTAAAGTGAATGGTAAAGACATTGCATAAATTCCATATAATTCCCTTTGCTTCCATGGACCCATTCCCAACAGTGGCCAGGCAATAAAACCAAGGTAGACCTCACTTATACAAAGATCCAACTGATCCATCTGTCATAAGAGACAGACGACTTAACCTTACTCTTAGATAACCATGTACAGGCGTGGGCACAAATGTGTGTGTTGGCAAGGGGAGTGTGTGTATGTGTGTTATGGAGCTTGATGTGGCTCCAGCACAACATAATTCCCACCCTGATGCCTAAAATTTCACTTACAAAGATAAATGCTAAAATTGGAAAGGACGTTAGAATGCAAATATTTCAAGGAGTAAAAACATATTAAGATGAACACTAAAGTAAAAATTACTAATACCAGAATTATTCCAGAGAAATGTTTTGATTTATGATAGAGAAGAGAAATGAAGGCATTAGTATCCTTAAAGGTGAGGAAGATGACAAACCATGTGAGAAAGAAAAAAATAAACATATGTCACCCTGGATTCTCCTAAGGTAAACTTTGTCGATTATACGGATCTCTATTCCTGAGAAAATATATCTAAATAATGATAAGGGAGATGATACACATATAGGAACTACGATTAAAATAGGCTAGGCCTGAAATCTTACAGTTGAATTTCTCAGTAGAGAAAATATTCCCTTTTCATTCACAATACGTCAAAGTTATGAAAAATATATATATATTTCCACCTGGAAATTATCTCTCTAGGGATAGACAGTAGCTCTCATGTAGGTTACTGAGCATAGGAAGAAATAATCTTTTAAGATTTAACTACTAAACTTTCCCTTGTACCTCACTTTTATTAAAAATAGGACTTTAGATTTCATTTGGAAATCAGGTTACCAGAAACATTACCCTAGCTAAACTTTAAATGGAGCCAAAAAGGGAGATCTGGTTCCATCATCTGGCCAGACAAACAAAGGGCAATCTGAAAGTTGGGGGAATGTGAATTATAACAGAAGAATGTGCAAAACTTTCTACGAAGCAAACAATACTAGCACTGAAAATAACTTTATAGAACATGTTGACTAATTGAATCAATAATTATGGAAAGTCAGGGATTTGTAAGTCTCCACACAATACATTGACAGGAATATTATAAATAGATATTAAGCATAGAATGCTTGAGAGTAAAAAACACATGCCACAAATATCTTAAAGTGAACTTAAAGAATATTATTCATTCATTGAATATTTAATGTGGGCTTATTGCATCCCAGCCTTGGTTTTAGGTGTTGGAGATAGAGCTGTTAGCAAGGCAGGAAGAGGTTCGAAGTCAATCATCTTTTGGGTATCTAATGAAAATGTGACCTTATTTTAGACTCATGGGCTGTCTTTGTTCAAGGTCCCCTTTGCTGCAAGTCCTTTCAGCTTCAAACCAAGACCTATTTATTTAATTCAGCAGTTTATATTGAACAACTGCAAAGACCAGCAATTAGAGTTCCTTGAAAATTTAAATGTGAATTTTCTTCTTAACATATGCACATGTCAAAAAAATCACTAACGGATGTACTTTAAAAGTCAAATAATAATGCTGACGATTTAAGAGTGCTTTGCAAATAAAACAGATGGATTAACTATACACTGGCTGAAATAATACAAAGTTAGTAAAAAGTGTAACATGACAGTACCATTTATGCTGTCATTGCCAAGCTTATTGTCTGGCACTAATTTCAGTCATTAGAGTCATTAGAACACAATGGCAGGTTAACACAGCTTGATATTCACTTGAAACACACTATAACAGTGCTGCAATATATTAACGCCAATACTTGTATGACCCAAATGTTGAGTCAAATCACATTACAAAAATTTCCCATAAGCTTCTTCAAGGTGAGCTCCTTGAGTTTCCATCCTAATGCTAAAAACACATATACATAGACTGCCATCAGTGGACTGCTCTCATAAATGACTTCCCATGCAATCTAATCAAACCAAGAACTTCAGAGTAACCTGAGGACGTCACAGGAAAATGTGCTGTCTGTGCTCTGGAGTGTCATCATACATTTGGCTTGCCTATGACAGTAGTGGCTTATAACTGCTACCCTGGCATAATTATTAATAGTGCACCCTTCGTTTCTTAAGTCGACTGGTTTGGACAATAAATTATATGCCAACTTTCCTATAGGTCACAGAATTCAGAATTCTGAATTCATTCTAACACTTTCCTTTAGAGGAGTTTCAGGAGAAAACTAAGTGAAAACAGTCCTGATAGGTCAACAGAAGCAAAAAACATCACTAAGAGGGGTACATTTCTGACAAGGTCATAACTGACTTTTATTTGAATCATAGATATATTTGTAAATCTGAGTGTAAGTTATTAACAAAATCTGTCTTGGACTATATGGACAATCACCTTTGATATGGTGAACGTAATTGGAAAATAAATTTTAAAATAACCAGAAGCATTAAGGTGGTACACAGGCCTACACATGTATTGGAGATGAGAGTTGGGGGACACAGGGAGTGACTGTTATGAATGTTGGTTAAAGTCAACAGAAATGGCCTAAAACCTCAGACTCTTTCCTGGAAATACAGTCGGTTTAGGACTACTAAGATGTCAAAAAATTCTAACAAGATTAATGACCTTAAAGCATATTAAAAAATATATGATGAGCCCACATATATTGTAAAAGATAGAGGTAGAAAAGTGTAAGAGTATTACAGAGAAACTGCTTGATTTCTTGGCTTCTTTGCTGCTGTGTTCTCATCAGGAAAAGAATGGAAAGGAACATTTCTTTTCTACCTCACAGCCAGATTTTTATTGTGAGTTCTGGGCCTCTTTTCTTCAGGAGTGGTTCTCACAAGGAGGCCTTGAACAAAGAAATAAACTAAACAATCTCAGAAGAAAAACAGAAGTGTTTGTGCTTCCACATAAGAGATGGGGGTAGCCCTACTCCTGGGAAGTTGTTAAAGCAGGGCTAGATAGATAGATAGATTGAGGGCTTCTAGTTTCAGAGAGGATACAAAGATTTAGGTCTCTAAAGTGACAGAACCTCATTTAGGTTTGATTCCATGGACACTAGTGAAGGCCAAAGTATTAAGGGTCATGACCTTGGAAGTCAGGTAAGGAGACTGAGCTGGTCGCAAGAGATTAAGGCCAGTAGGACAGCCACTCACCTTCACTGGGAACACAATGACCTGGGTAGGATCCAAGACATCTGTTGAAGGAAGTCATCAAGAGGACATGACCACCAGCTGCCTCATAAGCTGCACCCAGGCAATAGGAGGCTCCTCACACCCTCCCCTGGCCTTGGAATGTACATTCTGCCTACCATTCCCACAGTGGGAGCTGTACTCAACAACACAGGCTTTGGGAGCAATGTGTTGTTGAGACCATCTGGATGGTATACGTGACTGAACTGGAGGCTTGGAGATCTATTCAACTTGTGTCTGCCCAAGATAATCCTTGTATGCAAGTTCCTTTGCTTATTAACACGGCCACCTAGCAATCGGGAGTGGTCTGCCTCTTTCTTTGGTCTCTCCTTGCCCCTCATTGTACAGTGGCCAGTTTCAGATTTCATCCAGGAAATTCCTGAGGTTATGAAGCAACTCTCTTAGACATCACAGTGCTGAAGAAGTGGCAGAAGACCATCATGCCAAGCAGCATTAGGAGAAGGGGAGGACAAGTAAATACAGACTGAAGGACTAGTTTTCAGGACCCTGGGACTTCTTTAAACTTTAGAGATAAAAAACATGATCTGAAAAATTACCAATATTGTACTCTCTGCTCACCTATACTCTTCCTGTGAGTCCTCCTGTATTCCCTGTGGGCCTTAAGATGCAGGTCAGAGATGACTTCCTCTAGGATGTAATCTTCATGGTTAAATATTTCATATACTAGAGTAACAGTCAGAAAGAGCTCGCGGGACGGACTCTTTCAGTGAGTAGTAAGTTCCCTTCGGAGCAGACAAGGAGGTATGGCCAGGTATAGTTTAAAGGGTTCGACTTTTTTTTTTCCCCTGCTTTTTCTCCCCAAATTCCCCCAGTAGATAGTTGTGTATTTTAGTTGTGGGTCCTTCTAGTTGTGGCATGTGGGATGCCGCCTCAACGTGGCCTGAGGAGTGGTGCTATGTCTGCGCCTAGGATCCAAACCAGCGAAACCCTGGGCGGCTGAAGCAGAGCACATGAACTTAACCACTTGGCCACGGGGCCAACCCCAGGGTTGGACTTTTACGATCCTGACCAACTCAGGGATTGTAGGATTTGTTTTGTCAGTAAGAGATTAGCTCAAAGTGTGCTAACTCAAAAGACTATTGGTTAGAATAAAAAAGAAATTATCCTTACCCATTAAAAGAAAAAGTATTCCTCCTTATTTTCTGTCATTGTATGCCTAATATACAAAAGGAACCTAAAGTAACACATTGACAATATTCTTTAAAGGCCAAGTTAACATTTAACATTTTAAATATTAGAATACTTGACAATAAATGTAAGCCCTATTTCTTCTGCCTAGAATAAGAGAATAAAAGATAAAATAAAACTGGATCAGAGCACTTGAAAATGAACTGAACTTCACTTCCAATCAGACTATTATTTGTGTAAATTTATAGTTTATAAGAACGTGATGTGATTTGTTTAAGGTTTACTAGTTGAAAAATGGCAAGAGAA